ACACACACACACACACACACACACACACACACACACACACACACACAGCTGTGTTTCTGCTGTGAGAGCACTGTGTTATGTCTGCTTCGTTTAGATTCTCACTTTTGGGTGAAAAGATGAATCATTTTGGTAGAACATCACACCTATAAATAGAAAGTTATTGTTGAAGGCACTGATGGTAGGGATTAGACAATGATTTTATTGCAGATGGTGATAAAACCCTAACCCTAACACTTTAAAAAAGCTAACTAGCTTGTGTCATGTTAGAACAATTCCAATGTATTTAAAACAATGATCCAGTATAAAGGATCAGTCCTCCTCACTTTGGGATAATCAAAAATACTTGTTTCCTAACTTAATGTAAGGTTAAGCTATTCCAAGGTATTTAAGGGATGATCATGACATGAAATGTTCATATTTCTTAAGTATTATTTATCTTTTAAAAATAAAATATAAAGTCTAGGAATATTTTTACAAGATTACACAAATATATGACAATCACTAATTCTTATATTAACTTGTATTAGCTAGCCACTAATGTTTATTTCTAGAATAAAAATCTGACTTTCAGAGTCTGGTTCATTTTTAAAATGATGATATGAGGTTATAGTCAATCGTATTGTGATCTGTATTTGTACTCTTTTAATGTTCTGCTATTATTGCATTAGTATGTTTTCCCTGTACATGACTTGGTTACATTCTTACCTTTGACACCTTTTTTTTTACATTGACTTATTTTTCATAAAGTTTGTAGTTATTTCCCCATAGGATCAATTTGACTATTGTTTTTTAGCACTGGTTTTTTTAGCACTGCTTTTTGCCTTACTAGCATAACTTACATTATTATCTTTTAGTTGTTATACATGTACTGTTCATCTTCATATTAGTTGAATGTTCTCCTATGCCTACTGATAAGCAGACACAACATGACATTTTCAACATTGGAAGAACCTTTGAATCCAGGTCGTTTTATTTGATGTTAAGTTCACACCCCTTACCTACCACGTCTCCCCCCCTCAGGCTGATATCTGGTCCCTGGGTATCACTGCTATCGAGCTGGCTAAAGGGGAGCCTCCTAACTCAGACCTCCACCCCATGAGGGTCCTCTTCCTCATCCCCAAAAACACTCCGCCCACACTAGAGGGCCCCTACAGCAAGCCCTTCAAAGAGTTTGTGGAGGCCTGTCTAAATAAAGACCCTCGTTTTGTAAGTAATATACCTGCATCCCCCCCCCCCCCGGATCAGACATGACCCGGACTTTGATCATTGTTCCTACAAAGTATATGTGTGATTGGATGGCATCCATTTGGTTTTAGAATGTGATCTGTGCTCTCTCAAATATAAAAACTAAATGTAGTCATATTAGCAAGTTAGCACATCAGCCTTTCTTAGCATTTAGCTTTTGAGACACCACTGCAGTGTAGTCTTATACAGACAGTCATTGATTGTAAACTTCTTTTCTGCCTATGTGTATGATGTGCGTGCACAGAGGCCGACAGCCAAAGAGCTCGTAAAGCACAAGTTCATCACGCGCTACACCAAGAAGACGGCCTACCTGACGGAGCTCATCGACCGCTACCGCCGCTGGAAGTCTGAGGGCCACGGGGAGGAGTCCAGCTCCGACGACTCGGATATGTGAGTCTGCAAAAACACATTCATAACATGTTCCAAAGGATCTACTCACAGCCACCTTAAAAACTCATCAGAATTTGAGGATAAATAAGTGATTTTCTAGAAACAAAGATACCAACCAAGTGCTATCAGCAATGAACATGTATGTGTTGCCTATTAGAGTTTGCATCAGACTAAGCGAAGGGGCTTCCAATTGCTAATAGGAACATTACATACATGTTCATTGCTGATACTGAGCTTGGTTTTCTATTCTTTATTCTGGAAAATCACCCATTATCTATCCTCAATTTCTGGAATAGACAGTTATTTGGAGTGGCTGCGAGTAGAACACGTTTACACAAACACGTCTTTTAGATTTCAAGTCCAATAGCTTTTATTAGTCTAAAGAAAGAAAAAATCTTAATAAACTCACAAAATGTTTTCTCCTTATTAAAGATCAAAATACACAGACTTCTGAATTCTCTATTTCACCAACTAAGAGAAGCATACTTCCTTTGTTAGCTCAGGGTAAAACCCACTTCATGCAAACTCAACAGAATGTTGACTAGTCCAGTTTTCACCGTTGTCAAAATAAACTGGTGATTTAAAGACTCAGTTTTGAAAAGCCTATGCACTCTCTCTTTGCCTTTGTCTTTGAAGGTAGCAAAAAGAAATGATCTGAAAAATCATGGTGTCACGTTAAAATGCACTTATACCCCTTCCCCACCAAACCAGTTCTAGTTCTAGCTCCTTGCTTGTGCTCTTCTGGTTCCGAACTGGTTCTTCTTTTAGCCCCAGTTGTGTTTCCACCGTCCAGAGCCAGACTGGTGCTGCGTCATGACATCACCATTTACGTGGCTGATTTTCTCAGCAACGCCGGTCACAACCACAACAATGTGGTACTGCGTCGGGTTGATGATCGTGTTGCTTTTAATCATACGAAGCCAGATTCAATTAAATAACTACTTCTCCAACGTTATACTCTTCCATTCCATTCCATTCCATTACATGTTACTTGTTAGACGCTTTTATCCAAAGCGACTTACATACTCAATACTGTGGACAATTCCCACAGGAGCCATTTGGGGTGAAGTGTCTCAGGGACACAACGACAGAGTGAGGGGATTCAATGTTTATTAGTGTGGTTCAGCATCACACTTGGTTAGTGTTGCCTCACTTTATAAATAAGTGTGTGGTCACGTTCACTTTGCTCTGCCCCCCTGCACCCCCCTCCGACGTAAGTGTGACATATTTGGTTCTTGGTTTTCTGGACGGGCAGTCGAGCGGAGCCAGATAAGAACCGGTTCTCTGGGCCAAGATCCGGCCCTGCTGCGGTGGAAACGGGAAGAGCCGGTGCTTAATCGGGCACTAGCTCCGAACTGGCCCTGGAACTGCTTTAGTGGGAAAGGGGCCCTAGCGCTTGGCTTCCTCTGAACAGAAACCCTTATTCCTGCTTTGACCGTAGTTCCACTAGCTGTCACCCAAACACCATGTCTAAAACTGAAGCTTGTTCCTAAGCATACAGTCATAAATGAGCACAAAGATATGATGCTAATGGATCCAGTAGTTTATGAGATCAGGCATAAACAGACGAACACACACACACACACACACACACACACACACTCAATCAATCTCCTGGTGGACATACTGAAATAATTCCATACATGTTTGTGTCCCTCATATTAACTACCTATTTGTTGTCTTTCTGTCCTTCCTTCAGGGATGCTGATGGTGATGTGGACACGTGTCCCATGTGGACCTTCCCCACAGTCCGACCCACCACTCTGAGCAAATTACAGAAAGGCTACACACACACAGATTCAGAGGTAAGACACACACACAGCAAACTGACACTCACACAGAGTCCAATCTTTTGTGTTTTTTTCTGACACTCTTTCTCCTCTCAACAGTCAGGAGACTCAGTGAAAAGGCAACCCAAGTCACAGTGCTTGTCTGCGTTGGTAACACCCATCTTCAGAGAGGTAGGCGGTGGGGAGGGGGAGTGAAGAGCTTTGAGAGAAGAACAGCAAGAGCAGGCTTTAATATAGAGTACTAAATTGTGTCTGGAAAATCAGATGATATACTATGATATACTAGGGTTCAAGTAGCTTATATATTTGTCAGAATTAAAAAGGAAAGAGCATGAAAGCGTGAAGCTCAGCTGAGAAAACCAAACCAATACCTGCTTGTTAAATGAAGCCCTGGACAGTCATTGTGTTTCATTGCACATAAAAACAAGATTATTTCTAATAGATTGTTCCTCTTCTACTAGTTGAAGGAGAAACGGCGGGCGAGTGGGGGGGGTGTAGGAGCCATCGAGGAGCTGGAGAACGCCTTCAACCTGGCTGAGGAGTCGTGCCCAGGCATCTCCGACCGCCTGGTCACACACATGATGGAGAGAGTGTGCAGGTGGGTCTGTGGAAGGAGCTTTGTGCAACAGAGATATTGTACTGTGACTAATCCACTTCCTGTCCTTCTTCCAGGTTTTCTTTAAATGGTAACACCACCCCTTCTTCACGGTGAAAGCCCAGCTGGATGTAACTCAACCCCCTTCCTTTTCTGTCTCCCAGACCCCCCCGATAAGGACCACAGAAGACCCCCACCCCTCCACCCCTCGTATCTTTGCACCTTTCCCAGTCCTGTCCCCCCGAGAGATCTTTTAATTAGTTATAATTAAATATTTTTACAGTTTTTCCTTTAAGAGCGGAGAGTATTTAAAACAAAAAAGCCATGACATTTAGAGCGTTGTGTATACCTGTTAGATTGAGAAGAAAAAACTATAATAAAGTCTATGGAAAATGTCACATCCTGTTCAGTGTCTCCTTGGTTTTGCTCTGCTTAATGCTCAATTACAAACATTGCCTCCCTGCCTGAAACGCCTCCATTGGACTCCTTTGTTTACTTCTGTAACATAATGACATCACTATGGTTAAATAAATGCACAAACACACAATTTAATTTATATTATCAGTTTTATAATGGCAAGGACAGCTGCATTATTTTGTGAAAGAGAATGCAGAGACGTCAGTAATCTCTTCAATTATTGAATAACTTAAATCAAACAATATCAATTCAATAAACCAAATCATATTTGACATTACTTTTGTTAAGACAGTAAATTGTTGACGTCTGATTCGTTTTTTGCCATTTTAATTTCCTCCTTTCTCAAAAAAGAAGAAGATTGTTTCAGATAATTTGTTCACACTAAACTGTAATTACAGACACTTAGTAAAGAAAATCTCACAGTGGATTTGTCTCCCCGAGGCAACTCATCTCACTGAAATAAAACACCGTAGCAGAGGCTGATGTCAATGTGGGAACATGTTAAGCTTTAACTCAGTGTTATGCTAGACCAGGTAGATAAATACAAAAAAAAGAGCCTCAAATCACAGAAGAGATTAATAAAGTTTATTAAACTTATTACAATATATGCATCAAGAACAATATTTGGTGCTTTAAAAGTGGGTAAAAACAGCACAAAGAGGAATGTCGAGAACTCACATCTTGGCCGGTGAGGGGAACGTTGGCTACACCGACCTCATTGAGTCGTTTTTTTAAATCTGTGGTCAGGGAACCACAGAGTACTCGGCAGTAGGGACTGCTACCTCTCCCTGCATCAACGAAACAACGCTGCTTGGCACATGACTTCACTTGACATTGTAGAGGAAACATGGAGGAATGACTTCTAGTTGATGGAGAGCACCAAACAGAGGCACCGCACCTCATTTGAAAGTCCTTCATTTGTCTATAGGAAGACTTTCACTTGGATGCCATCATATTTAAAATACACTGATCTGAGAACTGCACCAATGGAGACTTTGACAGGAAAGGAGGGACAATTCACTGGAAAATCTGACCTTGGTCGACTTGTATGCACATGATTGGGCTAATTTTTTAACAATGAGCGAGGTGGACTATGAATTGGAAACTTAAGGTGTCATTTATAGACAGAGGAACAAAAGGAATACCACAAAAAGGGCCTAACAATGGCGGAAAAAGCTACCAGTTGTCCCATAGTTCACTCTCCCAAATGAGTTAGCACGTGTTTTCAGAGATGTTCCAGAAAACAAGTAACAGTACTTTGGTTTTCTAAATAGCAACAAAAAGTAACAGTTTGTATCAAAGATATGCCACCTTTTCAGAAGATGGGTCACATGACTTAATTTGAGTGACTGGCAAAAGCAAATAAAGAAAGAAATAGAACCGTGTGGAAATATATAAACATAACACTGTTTAAATATACTTTACTGTATGTATAAAAAAAATGACTCCAGATCCTGTAATGGATTGGAATAAAAAATTGTGGCAATAACCAGGATGCCTTTACACGTTCTCAGCTATCATCCGTCCTCAGTCAAACTGGAGCAGCGGCCCGAACACCTACAGGGGAAAAGAACATGTTAGCATCAACACAAGCTCACAATCTAGGTATTTAAGTTAAAGAGGACATTCTGCTCATGTTCAGGATCGTATCAGTATTTAGTTCCTCTACTCTGACACGTCTCCATGCTTTAATGTCCAAAAGCTCTTTCTTTCTCTCATACTTTGTGCTGCAGAGATTTCCCGCCCCCTAGCCCATCACGTACAACATGTTGGAGCGCTAGCCAATAGAAGCGTGACTGTTAGTGATGTCATTATGTATCAGAAGTAAAACTGGGACTGCGGTGCAGGGCCGGACCAATACACTGCTCAATATCAATGTATTTCTTTATATATAAGCAGTATATTGTAAGCTTTTGAGAAGCTGCTGCTGGTTACAGAATATGAAATAAACCTATATACAAATAAAAAAAGCCAACATTCTATCACTATTTAAAACAACATTCACAAGAACAATTGAGCCATTTGAATTGAACAAAGTTAACATGTTTTACAGTATTTGAGGTCTTTAAATAAAGAGGTATATAGTAAGGTCTTTGGGAATATTAGCCTTTGCAGACCATTTACAACAACTTGCTTCAAACACATTACAGGAAAGGGAAAAGCCATAACAGGGCCAGGGGTGTTGTCCTACCGTTGACTCTTCACACATGTTGGCCGTCGCCCTCTCCGTCGCCCTGCTTCTGCATCTGCAGCTGCATCTTGGCGATCATCTCCTGCATTCGTCTCAGCTGTGCAACACAGAGCAACATGTTGGACAACTGCACTCCACACACAGCACATTCACTCGGCTGAGATTCAGAGGTGTCTTACTGAATGTTTTCTTATTAATGCCAGTTAGAAATCATTGACTAGTAACAACTCCGACTATGAAGAATTCAACAGAAACCAACTGTGAATCATTTGCTAGCTTAACACAACAGGAACAATTACTTGACATGTTTCATTGTTCCTAGGTTTCAAAGTGTAATTCATCCATAACAAATAATGACAAAATAGAAACTCATGTCTGTAACCTACGTTTACCTGCAGGGGGTTAGCTTAGCTTAGCATATGGACTGGAACAGCTAGCCTGGCTATGTCAAAGTGTTCTTTTTTCTTTTAAATCCAGCTCAGGTAAAGCTTACAGAAATAGCTTTCTTGAGTTGGAGGCAGATTATTTGTTCAGTCATGTGTCTCTGCAGCTGATCTTACATACTACTAGAACCACCAGACTCATATTGTGTGCTTAAGGACAACTCATGGTTGTGGGTATTTATTTATTGTAAAGTATATTTTATCATTTGTATTTACTGTTGACTCATCATAAAACTCGCTTCAGTTTGGAAACGTGTTTCTGCTAAAGAAGGGTTTTGTTCCTGTACCTGAGTTTTTCCTTCAGTGCACTGCAGACAGATGAGGTTTCATTTTCCTATGCAGCTCTTTCAAACCGACTCTGCAGTCTCAGCTTTGACTCTGACTTTTAGGCTTCAAGTCAATTCTTTTTCACAAAACTTCACATTTTAGGGTTTTATGATTTAATTCATTGAATCGTACTACCATTAGTTTTTATTATCTGACCTTGTTTTTTTATTTGATTCATTCTAACGGCACTTTTTAAATGCTGTTTACTTATTGTTTCTATCAGTTTTAATGTATAATGTATTTTTTCTAAGTGCTATACAAATTACATTTTCTTTCTAATCAGGTTTCCGATAAAATGAGGAATGAAGACTGTCAATCGTATGAGTCAGTGTTGATGTGAAAACAGATCCAAAGGAATGCACACACAATTTGGCTGCTCCTTCATGCGCCACTGAGGTTCAATACCTCAGTGGCGGGCGAACACTGTCACACAGGAGCTTACTTGACAGCTGCGGTCTAGATTAAAACAATTGTGGTTTGTTCTCAAACATTACAGCAGCAGCAATCCTGGAGGATGTCTGCATTGTACTGAGTGCACTCTGATAGTTCACCTGTCTTTATGCTACAACTTTTTGCCTCATATTAAATACAGAGATGAGTGGCTTTGTTCTTCTCATCTAAACCAAAAAACTAAAACCAATTTTTCAAATTTATTTATTGTATAACTTTTTCTTTTTGGGGGGGGGTGGGGTATAGTTTTGTGTAATGTATTTTGCTGGATAACAACAAAATGGCAATTATAACATTTGTCTCAAGTGAAAAAAAGTGTATATCCAAAAATGTGAAACTCTTCCTTTAAGAAATCTGGTCAATGCCAAGGGTAAATCTATGAAAAATAATAAATAAAATAATGTATTTTTCAGAAGCCTAAAGTAGTGTCATGTATGAAGTGTCTCACCTCAGCCTCCTTCTCCTGCAGGATCATGTCCTTGTCCGTTTCCTCCGGCTCCGGGCCCTTTCTGCATCAACACGGCTTTAGTTAGTTTGGATGTTTCCGTGATGGTACACACTGATAACACAACCTCTTATATCTATGCAGAATGTATAACAATCAAGCAAAGAATCATTAAGTTTAGTGAAGCATCAGTGCAGTGAGTCGGTGGTTTCCCGAAAGTGCACGTTGAACTATTTTAAGTAGCATTAGGCAAAGTTGACAAGAAGCCACATTGAGAAGGTGAAGAGGGGATCAGTGGGTTAGTTGTTCTTGCAAAGTGAAGAGTGGGCAGCTACAACAAATAACTACAAAGAGATGAAAGAAAGAAGACTCAAGAGAGTGTGAGGAGTCGGGGGGACAGCGTTTCCTCCCCCAGATGAAAACAAAAATATAACGATACCTCCAGCAGACAGCCATCTTTGGAAAGATGTGAAGAATGCCTTATCCTGGCCAGGCTTTAGAAGAAAGGCTAAAAGATTTTGGGTCTACATCGGGGGGTTAAATGATGATATGTCCGCACTATGTTTATGACCTCTACTCAACTATACATGCTATTTAGCTATGAGCTAACCCTCTAAAACCTGCTATGCACACAGCATTAAAGCCACTGCTGCGCTACCAAGGCCTAAATGATGTCATGAACATGCAAAATTATGAGTTGCAGCTACAGAATGATACTAGCTAAATATTGAACTGTAGATAGACAAAAGAACGATAACGCGAATCCATCGAGCACAAGTGTTTCTAGCTTCCTTGTACACAAGCCTGGATGTTTTATTACTGTAACATCTGTGGCGTCATTTCTGTGTTGTTTGTTTAAAACACTACTGTAATAATGACATAAGTCTACTGTAAGGTTTTGCTGTGTGAGGTGGGGGAGGTGCAGTGAAGCAAGCGGACAGACAGGTACGTACGCAGGAGACAGAGGCAGAATGTAACCATGGGAGGACAACCTGCCACCCCGTTTGAGGCGGTCCGAGCGGAAGTTCTCGTAGTGGAGGTCCTGGGTCACTTCCTGTAGGTCCTGCATGTGGGTTCTGTGGGAGAAAAAAGGTCGCCAACCAATAATTACTTACGGATGGTGAGCAGGATTTGTGCACAATCTGGCTTTGCTGTTGAGGATTGCAACGGCTAATAAACCCTCGCCCAGGCTTCCCTTTGCAAGACTGTGGTATTCGCTTGGCCCTTCTGAGCTACTTTTTAAAAAATGGTGGTGCAAAATAGCAGACAAAGTGGAAAAGGACCCACTCCCTAGGTAGATATGAAGGGTTCATTGTAAGGTAAGAAAATCAAAAGTTTGGGGCGATTGTTGTATTGGGAACAATACTACTTTTCTTCTCTGCCCCGACGTAGTAGTAGTAGACACCATATGTGCGTGTTCAAAAGGACCTTGTATACTCCTAGGCTCATTCCTTAGAAGGACGCAGATGGCCTAGCAAAAGGGAAGGCTGCAGATAAGTTACCAAAATGGATGTTTCATTTTTGTGTCAACCTGCCAAACTAACCACTTCTCCAAGATAGCAACACTTGCAACATTTGTAGCACAATATACAAAGTTAGGCAGGTCAGGAACTCTCATTGTCATTCTTTCTTATTACTCAAATGTACAAATCTGCAACTCACATCAACATGATCCGCAGCTTGAGGAAGTCGTTGTGCTCTGGGTTCTCCACCTCCACCACCCCCCAGGGGTACAGGCGGCCCCTCACCTTCTTCCCTTTGGCCTCAATCTGCTGGTTGGATCCCACAACTGCAAAAGGGATGCTGGCCTGGAAAAGAGGAGTGGTTGATGACATTTAAAACACAGAGCAAATGGACCACTTGAATGGACATAACCTAACTTAACATTTCATCGGCATGATAACGAAACAATAAATAAGGGCTGATAAGTTGAGCAGGAAGTGGAGAGTTTACCTTCAGGATCCTGGTCTGCTCTTTGAAATCTTCATCCTCATCAGACTCAGCATCAGGAAGGTGGTAGATCTTGATGCCGTGCTCATCAATCTCATCCAGCACCTTACCAAGAAGACAGTAGAAAACACGTTATAATCACCCTATATTACTTTGTATACTGTTTACTGTCAATTCAAACTAATAGTGTCCTGTGAATGTCAGTAAACAGTGTTAAAGGTAAATATGGTTAATTGAAGCAATTGAATTCCTCAGTGCCTGCTATATTGACAGAGAAAATGTTCTGCTATTGTACTTTCTGCATCCAGCGACATTTGATGTGACAGTGACAACGTACAATCTACGTCAGTTTGTAGTCTCCGCCTCTGGGTAGCCAGGGGATGCGCTAGATTCCACTTACAAACTGAATTTCCTAAACCGGTTCTAGGTTTGAAGCAAAAAATATCTAAAAACAAAACTCGGTTTTCCTTGCTTGTACATTACATACAGGTGCAGAGGACGTTATGGAGGAGGATCTTAGACTCACCAGGTCGAACTGGACCTTTACCCAGATGCTCTCTCTTAACAGAAAATATAATCCTGTGAATATAAAACTTGGTGCAATATACCCTTGTGCAATTTACGCTTTATTTTTCTTTCAATTGATCTAAAATCTGTAAACAATACGAGCTACTTCTATCATTTTATAAAGTCACTTTTAAACTCAATATATGCAGTGCTTCTTTTTTACCATGGTGTACTCAACTGTTATCTGTTTTTACTGTGTTTTTATTATTAATAACGTGTACCTACTTTTTAATTTGAAATGCAGGTCTATTCTTTTGACTTGATATGCACTAACACTTCTGCTGTTGTAATACCTTAAATGTCCTTGTTGCGGGACAAATAAAGGAATTCCGATTCAGAAACAGAATCATTCCGCTGCAATAGGTGTCAACTGTGGGCAGTTTTTTGCGTGCATAAGATTGAATCACTCGGACAGAGGATTGCTGGGGAGCTTTTCCGGTGTCCACAAGATCAACTTGGAATGACAACCAAGACTAGCCAGCTCAAGAGGGCGGATGACTGTCAAGAGAGTCATCCTGTCACCATTGTAAGGAATTGGGTTGCATTGCCTGTTACCCTAACAGGCAATGCAACCCAATTCAACACAACTGCTAATTGAGCTCCGTGAGAAAGAGAACTCAGTTAAAAAACAGGGCTGACTGAGAGAATTGTCTACATTAACCATCAACACTAATTGGACATGGCCAGCCAATATTACATTTTAGAAACATTTCTTTGAATCAAAATCACTTTTGGCACTTCCTGTCGTTTTAGTAGAGTACAAAAAGTATTTTCATACAGTGGACGGTAACATTGGTGACCATGAGCACATGATAGCTGCTGGTTATTTCAGGAACTGGAAGTGAAGTTGAACAATAGGTGACTGTACTGTCCTCACCCGGCGCTTGAGCCTCTCCCTCTCTCTGAGGGTGAGCGTGTCCGCCTTGGCGATGACAGGAACCACGTTGACCTTATTGTGAATGGCCTTCATAAACTGGACATCCAGGGGCTTCAGGCTGTGGGCAGGAAACAGAGACCAAAAATAAGTATTTGTCAAATGTTTACTAACTGAAAGCCCTGTCGGTGTGTGAACATGTAGAGCAGGACTCACCCGTGGCCCAGCGGGGAAATGAAGTAGAAGCAGCAGTGAACTCTATTGTCAACAATGTGTCTACGATTTAGACCGCTCTCGTCATGGAGGTAGCGCTCAAACTGGTCATCAATGTAGCTGATAATGGTACTGAAACTGGGTAAGAGAAATAAACACAATTTCATTACAAAAGACAAACTATTAGACACTTTAGGCGCTTTCACACCGCAGTACTTTTCCCACAAAGGTTCATCAGAATGTAGTTCATGAGAACTCTTTAGTTCTGATGAACTAAGTACAGATCGCTTTCACACCGGAATAAGTCCCTGGGGGAGGATTAGGCAAATGAAGCAGCTGACGTCACTTCTTCTTCTGCTTTGGGTTTACTGGCAGGCCGCAAACAACTTCAGGGCGTATACTGCCACCCGAAGTCCCCAGCCGGAAGTCCCCGGAGTTGGGGACTGGCTTCAGTAGAAGCTGCTGGGAAACGCCAACACCTCCTCATCTCCATCGCTCCCATGTTTTATTTTCTGTTGCCATAAGTTAGTCTCTCTGCGTTTGTGCGCTAGGCTAATGCTTATAATGCTAATGCAAGGAAAATAAAAGGACGGCTTCACAAAACTTTTTGAGAGTTTTACGGGGTGTGGTTTGCAATCCACCCAGCCAATCAGACATAGGAACCTTTTTCTCCCACGAAAGTACCTGCTCTCTAGCAGAGACGGAAAAGGGGGTAAAAAGGTTATCATGAACTACCGTAATTTTCGGACTATAAGCCGCACCTGAATATAAGCCGCAGCAGCGGCATACCACTCTCGGTTCCACTTTTACTTTTGCGCGCTACCTGTCTCACTCTTTTCCGGCCTCCAGCTTTTCCTGCTGGAACCCGCCGCTTAAAGGTGGGG